TGGGAGGTAAATACAGTGGTCAAAACGACCAATTCAGGAATTGGTAGTAGACAGCGCTAAGACCAAAACCATTAAGTCCATGTTCCCACTGTACTCTGCAAAGTTTTCTGAGAGGCATACCTCATAAAACACAGCAGAGAGGCAAGTAAAATACTTGCCTCTCTGCTGTGTTTTATGAGGTATGCCTCTCGGAAAACTTTGCAGAGTACAGTGGGAACATGGACTTAATGGTTTTGGTCTTAGCGCAGTCTACTGCCAATTCCTGATATTTTATGAATGGATTTAGTTGCTGCAGTTCAGTTCTATGGAGCTGCGATTTTTCAGCAACTATTCCATTTATAAAAAATTAAAGAGATGGCACAGACAGGCCATTCTGGCCTCTTTTCTGAGAGCCATAACTTGGAAACCACAATGCAGAATTGCCACAACACTTTAATTTTCTTGAATTATCCTCGGTGAACTTTCATACATTTCCTAAGAGTTTAGTTGTTTAGGTGCTGTACATCCAGTAGCTACAACATCAATTTTGAAGGTTGCATCTATTCATAAGAATGAAAATCCCTCGAACATGTAGCTTAACTGGGGGTACATAATGTATTTTGCTTCACTCCACAGTGTCCACCAATGTTACCAGTAATTAACACCTACACCTACGCCTTCCATATGAGAAACATAAGCTGACCAATGTTACCAGTAATTAACACCTACGCCTTCCATATGGGAAACATAAGCTGGCCAAACGCTGTTATATTTTCTTTGAGCCTGCAGAGAATAGATAATATAACAAATCTCCCGCAGTGTTCTTTGTATTCTGATAGTGGTGGGTGGGTTGCCGTCAGAGTAACAGTAATGGCAGCCGAAGATGTTCCAGTGCCGACAGGAGCACTCGGTGTGCACATTTTTCTGGTTCATCGAGAGCAGGCCAAAATTCAGAGTGTATGGCCAGCTGTAGTCATTTTTGAGTTAATATGACAAAGCAAATAGTAACATTGACTTTTTGTGTGTAGCATTTACTATTCCATTTCAGAGCTGGTGATATGAAACTGTATTTACATTTGTTATGCTGCCGAGTGCAGCGTGTTCTTCTGTGCCACTGACTGAGGCGTCTCAGTGGGGTTACTAACAAAGTCTGATTTCTGCAGGGAAATATCTTCCTTTTAAAAGAAGTGAATCTCTTTAAAGGATAACTGTACCTTTTGTGGGGAAAAAAGAAAATAGTTTGTTGTGTTGCTACCTACACCTTGTTCATTCAATATCTGCAATGCCAGCAGCCATAAAATCATGATTTCTATACAGCACATGCCTTGCGTGCAGTTTTTGAATATATGCCAAAAAATCTACAGAATCCATTGAGTGTTAACAATTGTTGAGAAACTGCAAAAATAAAGCACCCCCAGTATGCCTTAATGCAGCCTTTCTCAACCAGTGTACCGTCCGGCTTCTTCAGGGGTGCCATGACAAAGCTTGTGTTTCCAAAGTCCAGATGGGCCCACTGCCAGTACCATAGAAAGGCATGATGCAAATGCAGAGTAGGCTGGATCAATTGTGGGGACGGAAGTCTCCTCTGTTGTGCAGCAGTGTTGATGGGTATACAGGAGCAATGTGGTACCACACCCCTCGAAAAATCCTTTCGATATTATTATAAGTATTTATGGTGCTTTTTAGGTATAACCACAACAAATTCTATTAAAATTCCATCATTTATTTCATTAGCATTTTAAAATACATATAAAACTCCTATAAAAGAGTCACGTTGATACAACCTCTTCAAATCACATAATTTTAACTGAACAAATTCCCTTCAATCCTTATATTCTTAAGATTTTACTGTTCTTGTATGTTCCATTTGTAGTTCGAAACATGTCGCTCTCTTGCTTCCTCAGGAACCACAGGTAGATTTATTGACGCATGGAAAGATATATTTAATTGGCCTTCAATCTAAAAGGAGACTTATCTCGAACTGCCACTGGGGGCTGGTTGGGGGGGTATACAGACAGAGAACCTCCATCTACAACCAAATTATAGAGTATCTGTCACTAGTGTTGTTTAATGATCCATAAAAGTGAGGAATTCCTATGCGAATAATATATAGGAATAGATAGGGGTCCATGTTGTTTAATGATGCTTCCCAGCGTTGCAGAGGTCAATATCTGACTTTTCCTTATATGGCCTCAATATGTGGTTTCCTCACAGAGTTTGCGATCGCCATGTCCTCTCCTCCCGCCGCTTCTCTGGATCCCCGCTGCTCTCCCCAGCGGGGATCCTCGGCTGAATGTGTCAGACGCTGCAGATGGAAAGGTGCAGGACACCCCATGTGCAACGTCGGCCACACGAGCACCACGGGAGGACAGGACGCCGGGACCTGTAATGTACTGGAATGCACTGGAATGTAAGCAGGCCGACTCTTTGCGTTCCGGTGCGGGAGGGGGTATTGAAGCTGTATTGAAGTCAATGGCATCGCCCACAGTGCGATCTCCCACACTCGGAACGCAGGCACATTAGTGCCTGCATTCCGGTCCAGTGCGATCTGCAAAAATAGTGCTCGCAGCATTTTTGCGGATCGCACTGGACTGGAACACAGGCACTAATGCAGGCGATCGCACTGTGGGTGAGGGGCCTGCCTGCGCAGCCCACGCCACCTCCCGCCCCTGAATGCAGGTGTTTTTTTCGTTGGTAGATCTCAATGAGCTCGTCATTTGAAAAGTAGATCTCCAGACGAAAAATAGTGGGCGCCCCTGCTCTATATCATGGGCATTGTAAATAAAGCTCCTCAATCCTCCTTGATATAGCCTTCTCAGGATGGCCGACCTTTCGCGATAAATTGGCATTGGAGTTCCTCACTTTTATGGATTAATAAACAACACTAGTGACGGATACTCTCTCATTTGGATGTGGATGGAGGTTATCTTTTTTTTATGCCTCCCAACCAGTGGCGGCGTGACATATGTTTTTTTTTCAGACTGAAGGCCAATAGAATATATTTGCATGTGTCAATTAATCTACCTGTGGTCCCTAAAGCAATAGAGCGAAATGTACAACAAGAACCATAAAATCTAAAGACTGTAATGATTGAAGGGAATTTGTTCAGTTAAAATCATGTGATTTGAAGATGTTATAGCAATGTGACTCATTCGCTGCTTTTATACGAGTTTTAAATGCATTTTAATATGCTATGGAATTATGGATTTTTTTAAATAGAATTTTGTTGTGGTGATACCTAAAAAGCCCCAGAAATATTGATTTATGAATATCGAAAGGGAGTCTCCTCTGTCCAGACATGCCCCCCCTTTGACCCTCATGCTGCCGCGCTCAAGGGGGATGTCAAGGGGGAAACTGCTGAAGCTGTTAAGGTATACATTTTTTATTTAACTTTACACTCCTTTACGTTCCTAAAGGGGACACTGCTGCCAAGGGGGATACTGACAGGTGCTTTGCTATCAATAGGAAGAACTTAGGAGGACTCTATTTAGGGAGGGGCTGAGGGGGATTCTTCTATCAAGGAAGAGAACTGAGGGGGACTTTGCTGTCAAAGGCGGCTCTGCTGTCAATGTTGGGGGGCTTCTCATGTAAAGGGGAGCTCCTGATGTGAAAAGGGCTTCTAATGTGAAAGTAGGGAACCCCATTTTTTTTTTTGCATAGGTTCCTCACTTAGAATCTATACCAAAGCTCCTGCTTGGATAAGCTTCTGGTATGGAATTTTGGAGGACCATACTTTTCCAATTTTTCTAGACCATAGGTTTTTTTTACATTTTAGGGTGCCTAGAGATTTTTCATATTTTTAAAGGGTGATCTTGGTGAACGTTGAGAAACACTGACTCTTCACACCTAGGCATCATTGTTTTTGTTCTTATTAGTGCACGTCTTCATCTAGCTTTTTTTGATCGATTTGCAAATTTATACGCCCGTTAGACGCACACACATGAAGATGCGCATTTTAGCTGGCAGATTGTGAGACATTGCAGTCTATGGACAAACGTGCATATAAACGCGCACAAAAGTGCAAACCGCTGGTGTCGCACGGTTCCTGGTGTTTCCATTTGTCTGAGGAAAAACAAGCTGCAAACTTCCAAAGAAAGTCATGTACTTCTTTTTTTTTTTTCTGTGTTTTGCTGCTCAGGTATGAACAAGGGCGATTGAAAATCATGGGATTTCTTGTGTTGGGCGCTTTTTGAAGTGTGTTTTCAACTGCTACAAAATGCCTAGGTGTGAACTGTTTAATGGTGGTAGCAACATTAGCGATAAACTGTTTAAAATTAACTCCGTTACAAAAACTAGAGGCCATAACCTAAAATTGGTGGAAAAAAAATTCCAGCACAAGGTGCGAAGGGGGTTCTTCACAGTAAGATCAGTTAGGGTCTGGAACTCACTGCCACAGGCGGTGATTTCAGCAAATAATGTGGAATTGTTCAAGAAACTTTTGGACGATTTCTTAAGGGACCGTAATATACAGGGGTACGGGTACTCCTAGAATGAGATCCTAATAGGTTGGACTTGATGGACTAATGTCTTTATTCAACCTCAAATACTATGTAACTATGTAACGGGACCTAATCTGTGCATTAGCATTCTGTTCCATCCCAACTTTGGAAGCTTCTGATATAAAGCTGGCCATACACCAGTCTTTTTTTTCTCAGCTGAGAGGGGGCTGCTTGAATTTGGGATAAGTCAGTAGTTTTTGGCTGAAATTCGAGCGATAAATGGCCAGCCTAACTTTGTAGATATAACCCAGGATCTCATGCATGCATGCAAACTAAACTGAAAGTCAATTTGAGGATTGCATTAATAAGGTTAGAAAGGCAAAAAGGAATTGGAAAAAGGCTGTATTTGTGAACCTGCTTGATTTGCCAAAATATGTTAAAGGAGCTGATGCATTTTTAAAAAAACAGTTAATAAATATAATTTGTGCATATGCTGTGCGTTTCTGCTTGCTCATTTAAATAATGCTTTAACAATTAACATGACATTGTTAATTTTACCTTTCTGTATTTTTTGCTTTTTAGGCCTTGCGTTGGATTGACCGCAGAACCAAAAGAGGAACAATGGTTTTGTACCAAATGTGACAGCAAGAAGAAAGACAAAAAGCACAAAAAACGGAAGCACAAAGCTCACTAAGACCTACTCTTACCTTCATTTCCCTATGCTTTTCATAGGAGGAGCTTGTGGCTTAACAGTGCTTTTAGTTCTGTGGACTGCTTTGGATAGACAAGCAATTAGGCCTTAGGCTGAAGTCTGTCTGGCAGATAAAGAACCAAGAGGTAGAGTGAGGAAAGCCTATTCGCAAGATACTGGCCCCAACAAACCCTTCTCCTCTATCCAGCAGTGCTTTTTGTTTTCCCCCTTGTATAATAGACGTATTTTTGTCTTCACAAATTAAACTTGTAATCTATTTGATAAATCCGTACAAGCTCTAAAATGTAGTGAATGATTTTAAAAAGACTTTTCACTGGACTGCAACCATTTTGCTTTTGAAACTTCTGCTGTTCTCTGTAATCAGAATTGATGCGGTTCTATACCTAATGTACCTGTCAAGTACGTCATTAGTCTATATACCATTTTCCTTTTTTTTTTCTTTTTTTTTTTTGCTAATATAAATAAATGATTTCTGGCTTTGTGAAATATATATATATATTTTTTAAAGAAATGTTTCTATTCTCTCCATTTTTTTTTTCGAGCTTCGTTCATTGATGTAATATATTTTAGATTTGTTTTGGTCTTAATTTTTTTTTTTTAACCATTCATCCAAACGTCTCATGTTGTACTTGACGTATATACTGGTTCAGCGGCCTCCTAGGTTTTGCGATGGATCGGCCTCCCCGCAAGAGAAGTGTATTTCTGTGTAAAGTCCTTTTTTGTGCTGTTGTGACAGCCATTTTACAAAGCAGCTTAAAGCAGCAACACATTTGTTATCTTTCTTCAGAAAGTATGTTTTGTATATATTAAAGTGTGTTTAAAATGTAATCTGTGCTGCAATCTTGACTGTCTAAGCTGTGTCCGTTCCAGAAATGGTTGAATAATCTTGCTTTTATTGGATTGAAAAGTTACTTTTTCTTGATAGAACTCCGAAAAATGTGGTTTTGTTTAACATAAAGCTCAAGAAAGTAGAAGACATGGACGGAGCAAAGGTTCATTTCTGTGCCCCCATACATGCAATCTGTTTAAAGTGCTGAATTTAGAGGTGCATTTAGTATTATTTGGAATGTGGGCCTGCACTCCACCCAAACGTTTACAGGAATAAGCACATAAAGTGTATCCAAATTTAAAGGAAAACCTGAATGAAGAAAAATACAGGTGCTGCCATTGCTGAACTGTCTGGAAATGCTAACTGCCAGGCAAATCCAATAACATTAATACTTCTTAATCACTTACCATGAAGAAGCACGCAGATCAGAAAAATTAGAGCTTTGAACTCAATGTGTTTGCTGGTACAGTGACTGAGAGAAACTATTGATTCAGGTTGACAGGTGAAGTTAGCTATGCAGCCTCCATACTTCCTCATTTCAGTATTATTTTGCATTTAGGGCAAACCAGCAGGTTTACTTTAATTTTCCCATATACAACAGAATATACTTCAGATTAACGGCCACCTAATCTGGCCATTTTCAATGGAAGAAGTGATCAGACTGGTTCGAAAACCTTACCCAATTAATGCTGTTTTTCCCAAGATCATTTGGTTTCAGATGTAGTTACATAGCACTTCTCTAGCTGCTCTTAAACCTGAGCGGTCAGTCGAGCCACACATTTTAGTCTATAGGCACACGGCAGATACAGGTGCATTGTTACAAAATGCCCATTTCCTGTACTGTAATCTATTTTCTGGATTTCTTCAAACTGTTAGAATTTCTTTTTTTAAATAAAAAGGGTAAAAATTGCAAACTGGAAAATTGCAAATGTCAAAGCATGAACAAGTTAGAAAAAAAGGCTTCTGTAACATGGAAAAACAGGTATGAAGAAGTAAGCTTCTCCTCCTAGATCTCCGGGCTTAGGGTGGCATAAAACATTGGTGGAAATGACTGTTATATTGGTATAGTCTTTCTTCAGTTTCATTGGGTTACTTTTGCAATACAGTGAAAATGAGTTAAAAAAAAAACTCCCTAGTTTTGTAAATATTTTGTTTGTGTACAAGCTTGTGCTAACATCTGAAAATTGCAAATGTCGACATGATGAGGTGTAGCCAAAGAGCACATGCAGTTGTTCATGGTGATGCTTCTTGCATGCACCAGGGTTGTTTTGCCGTCCAAACAAAAGGTAAACATGTCAATTTGGTTATATTCAGATTTTCTTTACATTTCTGCATTGTGGTATCGTAGGTAACATGCATGCAATGCTATTCATTTTGAATAGCACCCTAAAACAATGTTCCTACGTTGCACCTCACAACATCACACAGTAGTGCATTGTTGTGCGTTACACAGTTATTTCTGATTTGCGGCATGTTGGTGTCCATTGGTAGCCCGTTCATTTCAATTTGCTGTCTTAATGCTCAACATAATGCATGTTAACCCACCACAAAGATTTAAAGGGGCCCTTAGTGATCTCAACTCTTCTATTTGTAAAACATATATCCTGCTTTTCTATTAGGTTACTGCACAGCATTGCTCTTTGCACTGTTGTTATAAACATTTAGGCTAACCTTGTTCATTGCAATTATATAGGGCATGTTTTATTTAAATGTTAGAATTATTTTACAATGATTTGCCCCATGGTCAGAGGTTGTGTGCAATCTGGTATTATGTGAGAAAGTCAAGCGATACTGAACTCTTCAATGTCTTTCATGTTGTTGTTTTTTCTTTTTAAAGACACACAGGGAAAGGCTGTATATTTGGCCTGCTTAGTGCATGCTACATTTTTTGCCAGTGTTGCCAAAGTGCACTGTACATTTGAATGGCATAAAATTCAAAGCGAGTTTATATTTGGACTATGTAAATGAAGTACAAAACTATGCCAATAATAGCAAATATTTCAAAAGTGTGAGTTATAAATAATGTTTAATGAAAAACTACTCTAAATTCGTTTAATAAATGTGTGCTTTAAATGCAAAATTATGACATTTTAGTGTTTAAAACAAAAAAAGTTTCAGAACTGTTTAAAAGCATCCAGTTTGAACTAGGTATTGTAAGGTCCAATATGGCTAGGATTGCAAAGCTCTCTTTAACCACTTCGGACCAGCATGGTGCACTCCTTTCTGTCCAGGCCTGTTTTCAGTGCTGAGATTCTTTGACAATTACTCGGCCATGCAACATTGTATCCAAATTAATTAAATTCCATTTTTTAGACCAATTAAAACTTTCATTTAAATTTTTACAATATTTTTTTATATTGTATAAAGAGAAAAAAAAATGATTTTTTTTTCTCTCTGTTATGAAGCATATCAAAGCTTTCTTCATAAATTTAGGCCAAAATGTATTCTGCTACATTTCTTGGGTTAAGAAAATCCCAAATAGGTGTATATTTCATTTTTGTGAACGTTTTATAGTCTACAAGATAGTGTGTGTGTGTATACTATATTGCCAAAAGTATTAATCACAGTGTGCAGAAGTCGCCAACTGTCTGCAGAATCAATAGCTACAGACCTCCGAACTTCGAGTGGCCTTCAGATTGGCACAACAACCGTGCGTAGAGAGCTTCATGGAATGGGTTTCCATGGCCGAGCAGCTGCATCCAAGCCTTACATTACCAAGTGCAATGCAAAGCATTGGATGCAGTGGTGTAAAGCACGCCGCTACTGGACTCTAAGGAAGTGGAGACGGGTTCTGGAGTGACGAATCACGCTATTCTGTCTGGCAATCCGATGGATGTGTCTGGTGGTTGCCAGAAGAACGGTACTTGCCTGACTGCATTGTGCCAAGTGTAAAGTTTGGTGGAGGGGGGATTATGGTATGAGGTTGTTTTTCAGGGGTTGGGCTTGGCCCCTTCGTTCCAGTGAAGGGAACTCTTAAGGCATCAGCATACCATGACATTTTGGACAATTTCATGCTCCCAACTTTGTGGAAACAGTTTGGGGGCTGGCCCCTTCCAGTTCCAACATGACTGTGCACCAGTGCACAAAGCAAGGTCCATAAAGACATGGATGAGCGAGTTTGGGGTGGAGGAACTTGACTGGCCTGAACAGAGTCCTGACCTCAACCCGATAGAACACCTTTGGGATGAATTAGAGCGGAGACTGCGAGCCAGGCCTTCTCATCCAACATCAGTACCTGACCTCACAAATGCGCTTCTGGAAGAATGGTCCAACATTCCCATAGGCATCTTGAGGAAAGCACCCATACCCCTAGACTGCTCCTCCCCTCATCCTTTCCTCCCTCCCGGCCCCAAGCCCGCTATCCACCTATTGTATGTCCCCCCCCCCACCTGCCCCCCGACCTGTATCCGAGATCGCTACGATATTCCCAATGTGGATGTCCTGCCGCATTGGTCAGACCATATAATATAGTCAGTGGTACTTCTACTCCGCACATTGAGGCAATGCAAACTAGCAGCTGGCATGCCCTTCGTAGATACGAGGGCTCGACATGCTTTCTATGACTGCATTGCCGAAGTAGATCTGTGTTGATTCCAATTACTTGTGTTCCCTGTATTTCTGATGTGCAATGCTATAATATGCTTACCCTTGTTGTTCAATGCTATATGGATAAAACTGTCCAATAAAGAATTTTTTTTTTTTTTAAACATTCCCATAGACACACTCCTAAACGTTGTGGACAGATGCATTAGTGAAATAAATGAACTTTGCACGATATTCTAATCGAGTTTCACCTGTATATCTGATCATCATATAATAATAATAATAATATATCTGTATCGGTGCTGAACTTCCAGGGCCGCATCGGTTGCAGCTGTAATTGGGCCCTGGTGCTCCACCACTGTCCTGAAATCAATAGTCTGTATTGTTTTAGTAAAACTGTATCGGTAATAAGGATGGGCTGCATGTTCGAGTCGGCCATAGGTTCGACTCGAACATTGCATGTTCTAGCGAACGCCGAACATTATGGGATGTTCGCGGTCTGTTCGACCCCGGCACATCCCACAATGCACTGCGCCGTCCGAAAACGGTAATTGACTACAGTCCTGCACCTGACCGCAGGTCAGGTGCAAGACTGTGCCAATCAGGGCTCAGTACAAATGTAGAGCCATAAATAAAAATATAAAATTATATATGCATATGTCACATTTTGTACTTTGAAAAATGGTATATAAATGCGTAGGTGTAATAAATGAGGAAGATGGAAATTATAGTTAAACAC